TTTGGAATAGAGCAACGGGACCCAAGGAGCCAGCAGTTGGCCGAATTTATGGAGAAAGAGGAACTCTTTATGTTGAACTTTTTCTTCCAGAAGCAGCCCCACAAGAAGTGAAACTGGTCGAGCACCGACGGTTCGACAAAAAATTAGATTGACTTCATTATGACGACCAGACAACACCTGTTCAGTGATGTGTCAGTGATCGCGAGGGCGAAAACCTAACCGAATGGTGAGAGGCACACTGAACCTAAACGTTAAGTTGGAGAGGTCACGTCTAATGAAGTCAATACTCCATTCCCCTCATGCTCTAATCCAAAGTCCCGAAACCTTTCATTTCGAGCTGTAAAACCGTTTTCAGATTTGATTGCAATGTAGTGGACGATATGAATGACAAGGACGTGGAAACTGTCCATGCGGTTGGAGATAAGTCTTGCAAGACCCGCCGCAGAAGAACACAAAAAATCTCTGATCACACTCTTAATCTCATGGCTATTAGACGGGAAATGAAGCTGCAATCTTCAGTAAATTTAACAGCGTACAGGCAAATGAACAGACAGATCTCCAAATGCATGCGGCGGGACTCACGCAACTTTAATACTGCTCGTATTGAAGAAGCCATCGAGCGGACTCCAAAGTCTTTGCTAGAGATCTGTCTGTCAGAAAGAGCTAATTGTCGAAGCCGAAGACCGAGTGTGGCAGCGTCGTTTTCGAGACACCTGCGATTTTAAAGGAGATTGAGAGGTTTTATGGGTACAGTAATTGTCATCGTTGGAGCCACATGCAAGTGTGAGTAACGATCCAAGAGCAAGTCTTATCCGACACTATTCCGATGATATTCCGGACGTCAGTGTGAGCAAGATTAGAATGGCTCTCCAGCACCTTAAAAACGGCAAGGCTCAGTCGAGGATGGAATTACAGCGGAGCTTTTGAAAGTGGGTGGAAAACCGGTACTTGAAGTCTTTCAGAAGCTCTTTAATTCTGTCTTCCATGGTGGCACTACACCGGAGGCGTGGAGCAGAAGTGCACCTTGTTCTTCAAGAAAGGTGACAACGCTCTCTTGAAGAATTACAGACCGATTTACCTTTTCAGCCACGACTACGTGCTGTTCGAGAGTCATTATGAATCGTCTCGCATACAGACTCGACAATTTCCAGCCTCCCGAACAAGCCGGTTTCCGAAAAGGCTTTAGCATAGACCACATACATACCCTTTGGCAAATTGTACAGAAGTCCACGGAGTACAATTTGCCACTACTTCTGGCGTATGTGGACTATAAGAAAGCCTCTGATTCCGTCGAAATTTGGGCTATCAGAGTAGGTACAGTAACAAAGTACGAAACCTACCCAACTGCAGAGAGGTGTAAGACAGGGCAACGTTAAATCCCCGAAATTCTTTGAATTGGAATATGTTTTCAAGCATCTGGACTGGAAAGGATACGGTATTAACATCAACGGCGAGTACATCACTCACCTTCGATTTGCCGACGATAATTATAGTCCTTATATAAGAACCACTGGAGGACCTAAGCACTATGCTCTATGACCTCAATATTATAGTGTCTCCCAACGGATAGGTCTTAAGATGAACATGGACAAAACAAAGATCATGTATAATGTCCATGTCACAACTATGTCGGTGATTGTTGGGAGCACTGTGCTCGAAGTTGTTGACGAGTATGTTTATCGGGACAAATATTCCGTCTAGGTAAGTTCAAATTCGACCGAGAGGTCAATCGACGGATTCAACTCGGCTGAGCAGCGTTCGGGAAATTACGGCACATCTTCTCGTCAGGTATATCTCAAAACTTGAAAACGAGACTGTAGAACCAGTGCATGTTACCAGTGATGACCTATGGAACTGACACGTGGTCCTTCACGTCACTTCACGGAGGACGCTCAAGGTCACGTAGCGAGCTAAGGAGAGGTCTATGCTCGGAGTTTCTATGTGTGATAAACTTAAAAATGAGATATTCGCAGTAGAACCAGTGTGACCGACATAGCCCAACGGATTAGTAAACTGAAGTGGCAATGGGCCGGCCATATAGCTCGAAGAACCGACGAACGGGTAGAAAAGGTTCTCAAGTGGTGGCCTCGTACCGGCGTACCCACTAGATGGAGTGACGACCTGGTAAGAAATGCAGGAAGTCGATGGATGCAGGTTGCTCAGGACCTTGCCTTGTTTTATTGCTTGGGGGAGGCCTATGTTCAGCAGTGGACTTGTTATTTTTTTTCACTTTATATTATTTTATTATTATAGTTTTTATTATTTAGTATGCAACCGTTTTTAAAATAAGCCTACCGACTAAGGGTAAAAATCAGTATAATACGAAGCACGTTTCTATAAAATTCCATTAAGAACGAAAAGGCAACTAGACTGCAAGTGTCCGGCAAAAGAGTTCGAAGGACATATTTGCAAGGTCATTGTGACATTAATGAAATTCTTTAACAAGAAATGCACATAGGAAAACGTAAAACGTTACATATGTCAAGGGAAGTAAGAATGTAATGTTATCATCACTCCCGACCATTTCTATCGTCAAACAATAAAATTCATATTTTATCTCAAGGGATACGACATGACCGTAAGCGAGCTAGTATATATGTGTTATATATTTTAAGTGTAAATATAAAATTTATTAATTAACTTGACCACAGCTCTACCTGTCAAGCCTAGATTTTGTGATCTTCTTTTGGATCTAAACCAACTAATTATATTGTGAATGTGAGTCATTTTCTTCCATAAATATAGAATTTGTTTACTGTGAACTATTGTCTCGATAAAACAAATATGTGAATATCAACCTAATTAATCGTCCAAGTCGTTCATAAGATCTCTAGCAGATGCACCAACGATTGTATTTTATATAAAGATAAGATGTTTAAAAAAGGCTCGGTCGCCCAGTGCTAAGCTTTTGAGAACGCCGGTGCAGACCGCTTATATGTTGCGCACGGTACGGCACTAGAATTTTTATGGCTCATAAATAATTGTTTATATCGACATAGAAGTTCAAAACATTTTTAAGCGTAGGTACTTCTATTTGCACTTGTGAATCTTAGGGTGATGCAAACATTATAATTAGGGGTGCATCGATACGTACTTTTACCGATACGATATCCATACGGTTAGTGAATTTGAAATAAGATTTAAACTAAGTTGGCTTACAAAGGCTTACAAGGCCGGCAACGCATCTGCAATTCCCTCCCTGGTGTTGCAGTTGTTCATGGGCGGCGGTAGTCACTTACCATCAGGTGAGCCGCATGCTCGTTTGCCCCCTCTCCTATAAAATAAAGTAAATAAATATAATAAATATTTAATCGATTTGAGAATAATGTTTTAAAAGACAGAAAATAATGGATATATTTATTATATATCTAACGGATTATTAGATTAATTTTCAAAAGATAGTATTTAAAATCTGTACATATACATTCTACCATCTATTGAGCTCAGTGGGTTATTGTATGCTATTAAGATATGAATAGGGCTAATCTTTGAAATGGCAGAACAGATTTTGATGAAAGTTCACTAACAGTTAAAGATCAATTCCAGGAGTGATCTATGCTATATTTCATCTAAAAACAACTTGAATTTTATTTAATGAAATTTAAATAATATATACTTGTATAAAATATATGGTCTTATCATAAGTCTAAATTACGCTACGACTAAATTATGGCAGTCAGGAGAAGCCGGGGCTGGTGGCTAATTAATAATAACACTTTTTTAAAACACAATATCTTATCTTGTTTGTGTTTTGTGGCGAAAAGCGATTTTTCTAATCTGTTTGGGCGAGATGTGCCCTGGAAAATAATTTCTCGGATACGACAAAACTCTTGAAAGCTAAAGATTAGAGATGCCCGCGCGCTTATAATACTTTTTAGAATCGCAAATTAGTAACGTATCGATGTAACGGCAAATAATTTATCGTAATAGCGGCATGGCCATGGCCATGGCCATGGCAAAATTATTTAAAGAAAAGAAAGAAGATTAAAGAAGATTACTCAAGTGAATTGTATACTAAAAAATACAATTATACTCCTACGACTGGCCAAGGGTCTCTTAAGCAGTATAGGGAACCAGAATGTACGTTGTTGGACTTTCATGTCAACGATATGTTTTTTTTAAATTATTTTTTTTAATCGGTGGTACCGGCGCGTATTGATCTCGATTATTACTAGCGTACTGTCAAATTTTCTCCCCGAGCCACCACGGCTCACTATACTCTTTCTTTTGAAATATATATACTATTCTTTATAAGAGCTGTTTTCATTAATATTTGTTTTTTGTACCTTTTTACGCAAGCAAATTACGCCGTTATAATAATATTAAAACTTTTATGCGGATATTATATAACAATATGATTAATTATTTATATCTTAATTGCCATATATGTACTAAAGTTCCAATTACTTTCTGAATTAAAATGTCAAAATAATTGTTTTGAGCGAAATAAACGTGAAATATATTATAATATTTAAATTCAATCGTCATAACCAACACGGTTAAATACATAATTACGGAAGTGATTCAAAGTAATTTGGATTTAACCGCATCATTGTAAATACTATATTAATTTTCGCTTAATAAAATACAGTTCCAATTATAGTAGATTCGTAGAGCCTTACAGCAGTTATATTGTGGTTACACACCAACGACACCAATAATGGGTAGGCTCTTTGGAGGAAGAACCACACTCTCACAGAATAATAGCGTAAAGTAGTAGGTTAATACTGCTTTGTTTCGAATGATGGGTATAGAGTACCGGAGAACCTTTTAACTGGTAATGGGGTATTTTGTCCTCGGAGGTGACGAGATATCTACATTTTGTACAATCCATTAATCGAAGATAGATGTAGGTGTTTATGAGCCGCAGCATCCACTTACCATCAGATAGACTATGTGCACGTTTGTCAACTTTGTTATATTAAAAAGAAAAAACAATAAAAAATGTAATAATTATGTTATGGAGTAGTATTTAAGATTATTTCTTATCTTTTTTCTAGTGACGAAATTCATCCGTATCGGCATCGCAGACAAGAATGATAACCCTCCATACTTCGACAAGGAGCTGTATGAAGCAGAAGTGGACGAGAATGAAGACATCCAGCATACTGTACTTACAGTCACCGCCAAAGATCACGACGAATGTAAGTAGTTTAATAAATATATTATTGTATTTTTAATTGGGACAGACTGACAATATTAGGATTTGTTTATAATTATATTACCACAATTTTTAATGGATTATGAACACATGAAATACCATCTCCTGGTTTATTTCCGTCTATCGCCTCTACGACACCACAGATTAATAAATAGTTTACTAAAACGACACTCCCGGGACGCTTTGGAACAGCGGATATTCTTACACCGGTAATACACGGTCAATTGGCAGCAACGCCTTCCTAATAAAAACTAGAAATTAAAAAACACAACTATGGCAAATATCTCCTTTATGAGCCAATCTATGGGGAGGCCTATGATCAGCTGTGGACTTTGTTAGGATAGGAATAAAACAATAACCCGAATACCTCAAGTTTTGTTGAACATATTAGGATTTTTATGACCGCCCCCATGGGTGTTGTTAGAGGCGACAGAGGGAAACTGAAACTTTATTGGCTACTAGCTGGTACCCGGCGCAACTAATATTTTTGTTGAAATATCGTTTTGAATTTGGAAGAGTTGTATTAATTTAATTAGTAATGATTATAAATTTATTAAAGTTGAGTAATATATAAGGTCGGTACGACGCGCGCCACCTAGTGTAAGTTAATTGTATTGTGCTTACGAGTATAATCTTTGCGCAAATACAAGCAATTATTTGACAAAGCTTTATCGCAATCTGATGAATGCTATAGCCGCGCATGAAATACGAACAAACACATTTTCATTTTGATATAAGTATTAGATAATTTGGGATTCTCATTATTGACGTCAGTTACAAGAAACATAAGATTTACGACGTTCAATTTAATCAATTCAATAAGGAATTGAAATAAAGCTATTAAGGCATGTTTCAATAAACTAACCAAATCTAACATAATAAATCGATATTGGGATTCGCGAAGTAACAATCCTTTTCTGCCGACTTCCAAAAAGGAGCCGGTACTCAATTCGACTGTATGTTTTTTTTTTTATGTGTGTTACCTCAGAACTTTTTTCTGGGTGAACCGATTTCGATGATTCTTTTTTTATTTGAAAGCTGGTACTTCTCGTGTGGTCCCATATGAATTTGATCAAGGTCAGACCAATAGTTTTTAAGTTATTCTTAAATAACTTATATTGAAGTCGGCTGTACAAAATTTTTAATTTTAAATTATGTAGTTATGGAATAGTTGTTTTGTTAAATATCATCTTCGAAATAGGCCCTGCGTTTTTAGTTGTTATAGCTTCGTTACTAATCATTATTATCAAAATTATAATCTTTTGCTATTTATTACTACGATAAAATAGTATAAAAATATTGAAATAAGTTCCCAATTATTGCCTTCATTATAATCTAAGTATAACTTCAAATTCAGAGAACGGTTCTTTTTCAAAACCTTAACCGCATTGTAATGAATAAATATCTTCTTAACTTAACCTCTACAATAGGATATTCTCATGTATCGTGGAGGCGTTTAAGATTTATAAATTGCAGACAGAGAAACATCTATACCCGGAACATTTATTTGTAGACCTTACTAACACTTGTTCCGATTTAAATCCACGGTTCTGCATCGCTGTAACGAAACGTTTAGTAACTGCGCTACCAAGACTACTATGAAAAACATTCTATATTTTAAAAGCATTTATTAACTTGCAATGTTTGTTTGTTAGGGATCATCGATTGAGGTGAAATTTTGCACACATGTTTATTTTGGATGACAATGCATGGTTAGCTAAGTGACCTCATACTAAATCTAAAATGGCGGTCAGCTCAAGATAGCAGTCTAGTTATTTTCTATGAACCCTCATGATATGGATATCAAATGAAAGAGTTTGCTGAGAAAAATACAAAAATAAAGTGACGTCACTCTAAATCCAATATGGCGGATTCTCAAAGATGGTGGACTGTGTTCTTTCATTCACTACCATGATATGGATATCTAATGAAAGGGTTCAAAGAGAAAAATACGAATAAAGTGACGTTCGCCTTCAGCTCTTCGAGGAGATGGTGTACTAATAACCTATTAAACGGTAAGACTTAACGCGGTCGTACCTTAACTAATATCGGCCGACACCCTGGGCAAATTCTAGCAGTGCTGAAAAAATTCTAAATGGCGGAAAACAAGATGGCCGCCACACCAATTTTAAAAGAGTTATAACTCGGCAAAAGTTAGTTATAGTTTGATGGTGCTCGAACAAATGTTGTAGGGACCGACAAGGGCCAACTGCGGGCGATTAAAGAAATCCTGATGGTAGATCTAAGATGGCGTCCAAAAACCAACAATAACGCATTAAATTAAATTACCATACTTAAAAACATTTCCATAAATAACCAAAAAAAATAAAAAAAAATAATAAAAAAAAACATTTTTAAAAACTAGCTTTTATTGAAATGCTCTAAGAAGAAGAAAATAAACTTAAAATGAAATCAAACCCATCTATTTATTACATTACACAATTTATGTGACATAAAAGCTATAAAAGCTAACAACTCTTCTCTTTGTTTCTCCTTGAGCAAAGAGCACCGGAACATAATTACCTCCACGGCCTTCATCCCCAGCATCTGCGCAATGGACCTTCCGAATCTAGTATGCATCAGCCTTCCCGGCATTAGCGGTGGATTTGGCGTTGCTGATTAAGTTTCGGTTGCGGAGAGTAGAGAGAGCAGCACCGCGCCTTACCGACGCTCCTCATCTCTTGCGTTTCCACCACTAAAGCAACAAGAGCACGTCCCCACCAGAGTCGCGGAGCGCACTGGCACCCTAGCTTTCAAACTTGTTTACCTCTTTAAAGTATTAGTGTAGATAAATTGTATTATACTCAGATGTTAGATATCATTAAAATCTTTTTTATTTATTCAACATTTGTACTCTTTGAGCAGATACTCGCTTAGTAGTTTTGTTATGTCACAGAGGCTTTGTTCGTTCCATTTCCATTCCAATAAGGAATTGAATTGAATAAGATGGTTTCTCAATATCGATCATTCTATATATACAAGAATTTAGTTTTAAAAGAAAGACATTAAATGGCGACATATTATTAGTCATCACACCCTAACGTTTCCGAATAAACTGCCATTGTTCATCCATCTCAGGAATTGGGAGTATCGACAATTTTTGCCGGCTTTAGGTATACTGATATGCCGCTACACGAATACTGAAAATTAACAAAGATAATATTAATTTACATACCATAGGTGCATATAACAATGTTAGCAGTTAGACAAGTACTTACTTTTACCAACATACTGACTGAAATTCATATGTTATGGGAAAATCTGATTGGAGTAAAATGAAATTTGTAGTGGAAAAAATGTCCGCCCCTACACTAGTCAACATAACGGTCCATAATCCAACTGCACACGGACGTTTGTAATCGCAAAAAATATTTCATTGTGTAATTGAAAATCGGTAATATATACAAATTAACGGTGATATAAACTACAAATTAATGGTTTCTTGATTTTTCCTTTATTCCTGTGTTGCGAGATCGTGCTTCTTGTCAGATTTCATGACACTATATCAATGGGAAGTACCATAAAGTTTTAATGAGTAAATTTTCGAGTATCAAAATAATTATTTATTTGTTTATTCAAATTTAAGGGTATATAGGGCGTACATAATACAATGCTATGACAAACGCCGTTCTTTGCCAGTCAACCCTGGGTACTAAAGATATATAATATGTGACGACGTCGTAGTTGTGTTGTGTTAAATTGAAGATATTTTAAAAAGCAACTCGTAAACAACACGTGAAGAGGTGCATACACATCCCGCTACTTGCTACTCTGGTCTCTGGTTTCTGATGATGTTAGTGCTGTTAGCCCACACAGCTCTTATACAGGTTCATCGGACTCAGAGCTAAAAAGGGATGACTTTTTATATTACACTGCATCGTTACTCACGTAACGGTTAATCCTAGGACAGTTTACATATGAGTTATCTAACGGTCGTCCGAACAGGGCTTGGCCGATCCCGGCTCTGACGGCTAACTCGTATCGTTAGATGTTCTTGGAGGTAAGAACCGCCCAGTGACACGGGTGTACGCGATGTGGAGGGGTGTGCGGTACGCCCGTCTGCGGACTTGCTGCGTCCCACCCGTTGTTGTCCATTGTGTTTGTGTCACTAGGTAATTGTATAGTGTTTGTGTGTTAGGGGCTTACGATATTTCGGTCGTCGGAATCTAATGGAACTGGCGGTTCAATTAGGACATTACGGGGATTCCGGAGGGTTACCGTAACGTTCAGAGTCAGAGCGTAGGTGACTACGTTTACCACAAGCGGGTGGAGATGTGTCTCGGCCCTCTCGAAATAGCGCCGAGACATATCCTTGAAGTATTCAGAGATCATCGGAAGTTGACAGTCTCTGTGTACGTCGGAGTTTCGCTGGTAGCACCGAGCTCCGGTCGCTATGCGAATGAATCAATTTTGGACGACTTAGAGGTCGTACAAATGGAAGCTTCATGTATCGATTGCTCGACACACGAACCTTACGAGAACATTCTTCAACTGAAGAGGTAAGGTGGGCCAATAGGGTGCTAATCGCCTCAATGGCCTCCTCTCTGGAGATCTTTTCTGGGATTTTGTCTAAGTACTGGGAGGTCGTAAACTCGAGTTTGACCTCGAGCTTACGCCAATCCACGATGGTTTTGGTCTGAAGGACGGCTGCCCTAGCTGCATTGTGACTGGGTTATGGTTCGGCTACTTGCTACCTTACCACCTCCCTACTACAAATTTGTTTTCCAGCCACTATGAAAGTATGACTTCTCGTAAGGTTGGCGCCATTCTGTTTACTGTGCTTTCTGTTATTACATTTATAATAAAATGAGGACTTTGACAGTGGTAGAGCCACGCGGCGGCTTTTGCTGTCGCACGGATGGGCCGGCTCGAACCGGGGTGGTACCACGACCTCACAGAATACCAAAGTGAAGTAGAGGTTTACCTCTGCGTTTCGCTTGGTGAGTGCAGGTGGCCGGAGACCCTTTTTACTGGAAATGAGGC